CGGGGCCCGTCCTCGCTGGCCAGCGGGACAGCGCTGAGCGGCAGGCGGTTCAGCCGTGTTTGACTAGGGGAAAGCCTCGTGTTTCCGGGACAGATAGCACCGGATCTGTTCGAACCTGCCCCCGAGTTTCGTCAGCTGCTCTTGCCGCTTGTGGTGAGGAGAGGAGAGCAAACAGCTCCTACTGAGCTTACTGCCCTTTGGAGTTTAGAGCTTTGATTTGGGGCTTCAGGCGTTTTTGTTTTGTTTTGTTTTGTTTCCTAATGGCTGTGTGAGCAGTGTATGAGTTTTAATGAGCTGGGTGTACCGAGTGTTTGGTCACTTGATGCGCCTTTCCTTGCAGCTGCAGCATGGCAGAAGCCTCTGTCTCTCCACTGAAGCACTTTGTGCTGGCCAAAAAGACCATCACTGCCATCTTCGACCGGCTGCTGGAGTATGTCACTGAGGGAGCAGCGTTTGTGGAAGGTGAGCTTTCCCTTTAAACACGAGGGCCTTGTCCTTTGTTCTGAGTATATTTTATTGCAGCGTAATGTACCTTATGTTAGCTGTTACTGTGCTGTTTGTATAAACGTGCACCTTCAGAAATAGTCACATTTTTCATTGGACACTGGGGATTTTTTCATCTTGTGCTGGAAGGAATGCCTGGCATTGCTACATATCTGAAAAGCTGATTAACTTACTTGGATTGGCAGCCTGGTCTCTTTTCCATGAGGGTGAAAGCTTAACCACTCTGGCCTGACAATTCTGTGGCGGTTTCTTTTACACAGAAGGAAGGACAAACAGGTTCTCCCATTTTCCAGCAGGAAGGTGCATCAGTGATGCAATGCAGGGAACCACTGGTCACACCCTCAGAGGGTTTAGCGGCGTGGAATGTGTGAGGCCACACAGAGCTGGTTGCTTATCATCCCCAGTGAGCCCTGTGGGGGCAAGACAGCCCAGCTTAGCTGGTGTATCCATGGGAGGTCCTGGCTTTCCTTTCTGAAGGAAGCAGGAGTCCCAAGGAACTGGGCACATGAGCCCATCAGCTGTGTTCACTGGGTTAGTCGATCAGAGATTGGGTTGGCAATTGATATGAAGTGATTTATGTGGTAATTTCACCTTGCTTGTGGCAGAGCTGTCAAATGATAAGGGCTGGTATCAGTGTCTGTAGTGAGGTTTTTCTTGTTTTATCACTAATTAAAATTTGCAGTTGGCATGTTAAGTGCTGATTACTTACACCTTGTTCTCTGTATGTGATTGCTTTTATGTTTTTCCTTTCTGTGTGTAGCCACATACAAGAACCCAGAGCTTGACCATATAGCAACAGAAGATGAACTAGCAAAAATACAAGCATATAAAAACAAGCTGGCAGTCATTGGAGAAGTGCTCTCAAGGAGACACATGAAAGTGGCATTTTTTGGCAGGTAATGAACGAAATTGCCAGTACTTAATGTCTTTTTTTTTTGACTTAGGAAGGTCAGAGGTTGTCCTGTTCTCCAGAATGGCTTTGGGTTTTTTAAGGTGGTGGTTTTGTTTAATTTTTTGTTGTTGTTGTTATTCTGGACTGTTCCTACTTAGGATTTTTTTTGTATTGGATCAGAAGTGCTGAAGAACTAAACTTGGAGCTGTTCATGCTTCTATCTATAAGCAGCTGAAGAGAAACAGAGATAGTTGTCTGGTTGGTTGTGACATCAATCTGATAGATCTGTGTGATGATTTTAAGGATAGCAGTAACAATATAGTCTGCTAGTCCACTTTGCTTCAGGGAATTGATTTTTCTGTCCTTACATTTAAACATATTTTTGGAGTGTGAATCTTCATGGTTCTAAAAATTCTGTGATAGTATTGGGAAAACCTTGTACAACAGTGGTCTTGTCTTCATTTTTGCTAAAAGTAGTTTAGTTATTTAAAGAAAAACTATAAAAAGTTCTGGAATAAAGAAATTAGTTATATCTCAGCCTTGATATTTCAAAAAGTTAGAAGTTGAGTGCAAGCTGTGATGTGTGACAAAAGTTTCCCTTCTGCAAAGGGAAAAAGTTCTGAGCAGGACAAAAGAGTGCTCAACTCTCCCTCTGGCATTTTGAATAAATTTGTGAACTGTTGTCCAGTGAGCACTGAACTTTTTCTGGAAGTAGTTCAAAAATGAGTAACAGTTGATGCTGTTGTGTAATAGTTAAACCTCAGATATTTCTGGGTGAGGGGTGGAGGCTCAGTGCAGAGTAGGACACTGCTGAGGACTGAAAGCTGTTGCAGAAGGGGGAGTTGGTGACCTGTTCCCCTGAATGAGCACTCCCCACTCTCCTGGCTGGAGCTCTGTACCCAAACCAGCCTGTGCATCCAGTTCAGCACAAAGGTGTGTTCAGTGCTGCTGTGCTCTGCTCAAAGTACTTTTGTTTTCTCTCCCTCCAGAACAAGCAGTGGGAAAAGTTCAGTCATTAATGCAATGCTGTGGGACAAGGTACTTCCCAGTGGGATTGGCCATACAACAAACTGCTTCCTCAGTGTGGAAGGGACTGATGGAGATAAGGCTTATCTGATGACAGAAGGATCAGATGAAAAGAAGAGTGTCAAGGTACATTTCTTGGATGATTTCATGCCAATTTTCACAGGAAATAACTCTCAAAGAGTCTTTTTGTTAACAACAGTTTAAAGTCCAACAGAAGTACAGGGCTCTCTCATTCTCCATTTTAAAGTTCTTATTTAGGAGGGAAGAGCAAACTAATGAAGGTGCTCTGCTGCACAGGTTTCTTGGGCGTTCTAGAGAAAACACTAACGTGTGTTGTTTCACTGTAACAGAGCATGTGTTGAGTGATTTATTTTTATAGAACTCAGTAAGTCCTGTTACTGATTAAGGATTTGGAATGTGCCCTTCATTTGGACTGATGGTGGTCACCTTAGTGAGCTGCATACTCTGATTTGTTAAACCTTATACCTCTGAGGCAAATTCATGATGATGCTCAGTAGCACACAGTCCAGCCCTGTAGGGAACATCTGTGGCTCAAAAGAAGCTCTGGTCTGAGTTTCAAGGCACAGCTTCTTCTTTAGATGCTGGTGAGTTGAAGAGCTAAAGAAAAAAATCACAGCTATTCACCAGAACAAAGTATGAACTCTGTTACCCTCTTCAGGATAGAT